GTTGCAACATTTACTTGATAAGGGCTTTATTAGACCTAGCATCTCTCCCTAGGGTGCGCCAGTGTTGTTTGTTAAGAAGAAGGATGGGTCGATGAGGATGTGCATAGACTATCGACAGTTGAACAAAGTCACCATCAAGAACAAGTATCCATTGTCGAGGATTGATGATTTATTTGATCAGCTTCAGGGTGCAAAGGTGTTTTCAAAGATTGATTTGAGGTCTGGATACCATCAGCTGAGGATTCATCCGATGTCCCTAATATAACTTTTCACACTCGATATGGGCATTATGAGTTCTTACTAATGTCATTTAGGTTGACAAATGCCCCAACAACCTTTATAGATTTGATGAACCGAGTGTTCAAGCCCTGTATGGATTCCTTTGTGATTATTTTCATTGATGATATCTTGATCTACTCCCGCAGCCGAGAGAAGCATGAGCAGCATCTTCGAGTCGTTCTTCAGACTCTGAGAGACAACCAATTATGCTAAGTTTTCGAAGTGTGAATTTTGGTTGAGTTCAATTGCATTTATGGGCCACGTTGTATCAGTAGAGGGTATTCAGGTGGATCCTAATAAGATTGAGGCAGTCAGGGACTGGCCTAGACCCATATCAGCCATATAGATCCAGAGTTTCTTGGGTTTGGCAAGCTAATACTATCGGTTTGTGGAGGGGTTTTCATCCATAGCAGCCCCGATGACCAGGTTGACCCAGAAGGGTGCCTAGTTCAGGTGGTCGGCCAAGTGTGAGACGAGCTTTAAGAAGCTCAAAAAAACTTTGACCACGGCCTTGGTGTTGGTATTGCCTATAGGTTCAAGGCCATATACAGTATATTGTGACGCATATCGTATCAGACTTGGTGCGGTGTTGATGTATAATGGCAAGGTTATTGCATATGATTCACGATAGTTGAAGATTCACGAGAAGAATTATCCAGTTCATGATCTGGAGCTAGCAGCCTTTGTCCACGCGCTGAAGATTTGGAGGCATTATTTATATGGTGTGTCGTGTGAGGTGTTCACGGATCATAATAGTTAGCAACACTTGTTCAAGCAGAAGGAGCTAAATTTGAGGCAGAGGAGGTGGTTGGAGCTACTAAAGGACTATGTATCACCATCTTGTATCATCTTGGGATGGCCAATGTAGTGGCCTATGCTTTGAGTAGGAAGTCGGCTAGTATGTGTATCCTTGCATATATTCTAGTTTGTGAGAGACCACTTGCTTTAGATGTTTAGGCTTTGGCCAATCAGTTCGTGAGGTTAGATGTTTCTGAGCCCAGTCGTATTCTAGCTTGTACAGTTGCTCGTTCTTAATTATTTGAGTGTATCAGTGATCGGCAGTATGATGATCCTCATTTGCTTGTCCTTAGAGACACAGTACGGCACGAAAGTGGAAAGCAGGTTACAGTTGGAGATGATGAAGTTTTGAGGATGTAGGGTCGTATTTGTGTGCCTAATGTGGATGGACTTCGTGAGTTGATTCTAAAGGAGGCCTATAGTTCCCTATTTCTATTCATCCGGGCGCCGCCAAGATGTATTAGGATTTGCGGTAGCATTATTGGTGGAGGAGGATGAAGAAGGATATTGTTGCATATGTAGCTCAGTATTTGAATTGTTAGTATGTAAAGTACGAACATCAGAGACCTGGTGGTTTGCTTCAGAAGATTGAGATTCCAGAGTGGAAGTGGGAGCGTATGACTATGGACTTCATTGTTGGACTCTCACGGACTCAGAGGAAGTTCGACGCAGTATGGATTATTGTGGATAGGCTGACCAAGTCAGCACATAACCTAGAATAACATAGTCTCATGCCGGATCCCTAGTAGGAACACTTGTTTGCATCACGTGCATCTAACTTTGGGGACTCAATACAGGGGTTGGGTCCGTCTAGGACAGGACTACCCAAAAAATAAAAGACCATCCTGATGCATCCTATATGCTACATGTTGCATTTCTTCAAGGGTAAAGGGGTCATTTGGCATACCAATTATAGTTGAGGGCAAATAAAAAAAAGGAAAAAGAGGGTGAAGTGTGAAAATAAAGCAAGTAGGGCCCAGTTATGTTTGCTTTCACATTTTTATTAAGATAAAGACAAAAAAACATGAAAATTTCAACAACAAAAAAAGAAGAAAAAAACATATTGTTCTCTAAATTAGTTGTTGTTTTTTTAATTCTCGCCTGTATCCAATCTGTCCGAACTACACGAACTTGATTCTCGTCTTTCGGGACGTGATACGTAGACAACCCACATAGGTTCCGGTCTTCTTAGTAAGTCATAGGTTCTTGGCTTCGCGGGGTCTTAGCCAAATCTTGCATTTTTAGCCACTTTTAGCCACATAGGTTAATTTTAGAAAAATAGTCACAATCATGTCTTGCATATGTCCAAAAGGAAGAGTTATTGTCTCACATAGCGTTCTAGGTCTTTAACTTTATTTGGTCTTAATTTTCTCGTACAGTTGTGGGTCTACTTACCGGAGTTTGAGCATGATAGACACACCGGGATCATCCAGTCAGGATCGCTCATTTAGGAGTTGCCTAAGGAGATTTTTTTGTATTTTTTATGTTTTGAGTCTGTTTTTCATTTTATGTCGTCTTTTACTTTCTAATCTTGTACAGTAATGTCGAGTTTTTTGTTATCGTACTTCTTATTTTTATTTGAAAAAGTGTGTTGTAACTCAAAAATCCAAAAAAAAGAAGAAGAGGTTTTGTGTTTATATTTCCGTTAGAAGTTTTCTTGAGAATACTAATTCTAGAAATAAAATAAAAAAATTTCTTCTGAGGTGGTTTTCCTTTAGGAAATTAATATCTAGAACTCAAAATAAAAAATTGCTTTTATATTTCCTTTAGTATGTTAAGACCAAAAATTCAAAAAAAAAAAGAGAGAGAATTTCCTTTTAGTACATTTTTAGAAGTTTTCTTTAAGGTATTAATTTCAAAAATCCAAAAGGATTTTCTTTTGAGGTTCTTCTTTGGAAAATAAAAGAAAAATAAAAAAAAATCTTTCTATTTTCACTAGAACTTTAGGATATTGTACATAGAAGAAAAAAAAACATACTTTATCTTTGGTTTATCTTCAGAGTTTCTCCCTTAGATAATCAAAACTGAAATCCAAAAATATTTTTTTATCTTGTTCATTTCTCGTTTCGAAATCTTTCTTTAGGGATATTAAATGAAAATTCAAATATTTTTCTTTGGTTTATTCTTTAGATTTCCTTCCTAAAAAAACAATCAAAAATATTTTTCTCTTCTAGGATTTTTTTCCTTAATAATTTTCCATATAGTATTTGTTTCAAAAAGAAAAAAAAAAGGAGAAAAGAAAAGATATATGCTCTTTAAGCTTGAGTTTAGAATAAGTTATAGAACATTAAGTCTAGAAAATTTTAAAAAAGGGGAATTTGCTTCTTTTATTTCTCTTTTCTCACCAGAGTAGTCATTAAGGTAAAAAGAAAAGAAGAAAAGAAAAAGAAAAAGAAAATGAGAATGTTAGTTTGTATCCTTTATTCCCGATCTTCCCGAACTACGCAAAGATCTGATTTATTCGGCGTCATGATACGTAGGCAACCTACATAGGGTTCGATCGAATCATTTTCTTTTTTAAAAAAAAGAGATTAAAAGAAAAAAAAAGAGGTGAAATTATGGTATATGAGAAATGAGAGGAAAGAAAAGAGTGATAATTAGAAAAAAAAAAGGAAGGAAAATGAGCTAGCCAAGAAGCGGTAGAAAAGAAAAGAAAAGAGGAGATTGAAACGAAAAAAATTGGGGTGATGCCAAGTGACCTGTTGACCCTCGAAGTCATTCTAGAACCGTTAATTGTTGCTAGGTGCATTGCATGCAATGTGATATTTTTATCTGTTAAATGCCCTAATGCTAACAGGATGACCCCATTTTGTTCATTTTGTTACCTTCATTGATCAGAAGGGTGGTTGGTTTGTGATTTTTAAGTAACTCGTCCATACAACACAAGGTCAAAGAGCAAGGTAGTCATGGCTAGCAAAGACGTGGACACAGAAGTTGTTGACCCGTCGAGGGAGTTTGTGGAGTCAGAGTCTAAATTGAAAGGGGAGATCCAAATGTTGAAACAACAGATGGCAGAAATGTATCAGTCTTGGATCAGGGGGCATCCTCCACCTTCATTCCCTGCTAACTACACTGAAAACCCTGCAACTATCCCACCACTATCACAAATCCAGATTCACACTGCTGCTGATATCTCCCCACAACCTTTTCACACTCTACCCGCCAAAACCACCTCATATCCCACTGTTTTGGCCACTCATGCTCTTGTAGCTCCTCCTCCAACTACTTTTCCTCGATCCTCTAACGAGACTATGTTCAAAGTCCCCGATGCCCAACACTATGCTCCAGAACCAACTTTCAAAGTCTTGGATCCATACTCTCACGCTCCTCATTTTGAACCTCCCGGTGAAACTGAAATGCCTGCTAAGACAGTGGAGCAAAATGAGATATCCAGGAAGGTGAAAATCTTAGAGTAGTCTTTAAGAAACATGCAAGTGATAGGGAACCAAATGAGCGTGGCTTATAAAGACTTTTGCTTGTTTCCTGACATCCAACTGCATGCAAGGTTTAGAATGCCAAAGTTTAACTTGTATGATGGGTGAAGATCCAGTAGCCCATCTGAGGGGTTATTGCATTGAAATGAGAAGTATTGACTGGGGCAACCTTGCAATGGTATACTCATCAAGATACCAATAAGTGGCAGGCATGGGATGGCATGGCTCAAGATTTTATTCGACACTTTCAATACAATATAGACGTTGCCCCAGACCGCTCCTCCCTTTCTAATATGGAAAAGAAACCGGAGGAAAGATTTAAAGAGTTTGGGCTCAGATGGAGGGAACAAGCTGCTCGGGTCATTCCCCCGATTTGTGAAAAAGAAATGGTTGAGCTTTTCCTACAAGCCCAGGGGCCCGCCTACTTCAGTCATTTGATCCCGGCCTTGGGTAAACCTTTCAATGAGGTGGTAAAAATGGGGGAGATGGTAGAAGAGGTAATCAAGTCAGGCAAAATTATGAGTTATTCTGCATTGGACACTACAAAAGATATTCAGAACATCTCAGTAAGTTTGTTTGAAGCAAATAGCTATTGTCATTATATAACTAATCCTAACAAATAATAGTCTTCAAATAATTTCTGCAATGCTTCATCATTTTGAAATCTTCCACCGGCTAAATTATCGATCATCAGACTGTATGACCTGAAATTACAAAATAACTATGTCAATAGATGAAATATAATAGTCTTCAACTGGGATGTTTATCGAGCAAACATTGCCCCAAGATAAAGTTGTTTTATTGTAGAATGACAGTTCCATTTTTTCTATAGAATAAGACATAACAAATTTGACCGAAACAAATCAAACTGCAATAGTATAGATAAGAAGTAAATGAGAAGAATTTTCAAGATATCAAGCAAACCAGAAAAAGATTTAAGCTTTCAAAAGTGTGCAAGATCTTCAGGGCAATAAAGGTGAAAACCACTCCAACTGTTTCTCATGTATTGCGGAAATGCATGTCAAGGTAGAGAAGAACCTTATCCAGGCACCTAGCCAGTACTTCTGTCCAATCCTTCAGGTGAGAATTCAAATTCCAGGAGATGACCTGCTAATTTGTAAAGTCCTTTTCTCTACTAATATGCATCTCATTCTACTTCCTTGTCTATTATCACGCCACATCTTTGCAAGAAGTAATGGAAAACCCACATATAGCAGCTGATCGCTTTACATATGAGCATAGACCGGTGAAGGCATAGGTTAACATACATAACATGTCACCTATGATAAAACAAAGACTGCAGAACAAGATGCTTATCCCAAACCACACATTACGCCTTGCCATACAAGATTGGAAGTCACATTTGTTATGTGTGCATATATCAAGCCAATAATAGTTCTGGAGAACAATAAAAGGGAAGGAGTAAAGTGAAAAGAACTTGGACATATATTATATTTTGTTGGAGAGGTGTCTCGAGAATAACAACTGGTTCTAGTGCTTCTACAGGCCCTGTTGACGCTGCTGTTGTTAGGGGTTCTCAGGTTTTGAAAAATGCAACAATACCTATGGTTGATCGAAATTTAACTAGGACTTCTATAACTATAGATGTTGAGCAATACGATGCAGCTGGACAGCTGATCACTAAGGAACATGAACAATCTAAGATACAACTATCAACATATGGGAAAGAGAAAAAATGGTACTCTCAATATATACAGCTGGACAGCAGGTACTTGATGCTCCGACTCCTAATGGGAATCAATCTCAATCATCTACTGAACAAGCTGCTGATTTGAAGGATCCTAAGGAAATAGATGGTACAAAGGTTTTGGAATTTCCTACTGAGATTATTGTTCAACAACAGTTGGTGCATGTACATGATCAACCAACTATTGTACCTGTTGAATTATTTGAAAAAACGGCAGGCTCTAAAACTACAGCTTTGAATAGGGTTTCTCAGGTTTGCGATGGGGAAAAGTAAGTTTCTAAAAACCCTACTGCTGATCGTGTTTCAGATCAAGGATGTACTCAAGTTTGTCGAGGTAATGAAGCTGTGCAGCAACTTAATAATGGACTGGGGTAGATTAACACTGTGACTGATGCAACTATTGCACGTGCTGAACTAGTTGAAAACCAATAGGCTTTAAATCTAATGTTGTGCATGATGAGAGGCAAAAACTTGAATGTGTTGATATTTTGGATAGTGTAGCTACTACAGGTGATAAGACAATGCTTGAACAAGATGAGAACTGTCCAAATAGTCCACTGATCAGGCCATAAATGTTGAAGTTATACTCAGATAGTCGGGGTGCCTCTACCAGCCTAGTGAGCCTATCGACTGAACAAGCCCAGTGAACTCAACTTGGTCGGTTGGCCACCTACCTAAAAACCACATGCTGCCTGGTGCAATTGCTCTAAGGCCTTTATCTTACTACCTTCATCCCTTTACTCTATAAGAAATCTAAATGATTTCTTTATTCTTTTTCTGTGGCGAATATTTTAATTCATTTTTTGCAGAGATGTCCATGGTTTATCTTCAAGGAAAGACAAGATAATCACAGTGGTCATGATTGTTCAGGCTGTTGTGACAAGCTTTATTGCTATTGCTGCCAACATTTACAATCTGGTTTGAAATAGTACATAATGACCTAAAAGTCATATTTTAATCAGAGGAACTTCCAGATGATGTACACAAAATATTGGCTAATGGTAATCAGGGTGCACCATAAACAAACAACTATTCAAACTCCAACATATTAAAATAGTGTATCCTAATTCCATCAATGATTTCCTTGCCATTTTATTTTGATTGTCATAATTCAAAATAATATCTAAGATATAGCCAACCATAGCACATTATGGGAGGTGTGAAAAATAATATCTCCATACACACTAAAGTTTTAGTCTCTTTGATATCATAAATTTGGATTTAAACAACTCCATAGCCTTCACTTTGGTCCCAAGTTTGCAGTTTTTAAGAGACAATATGGCCTAAGTCACTATGTTCTAAGCTGTTATCTCAATCTTAGGTTTTCATCATTGTCATCTGAGAAGTATACTAAGGCAATTAAAGCTGAATTTTGTTTTTTCTTATATTATACAATTTTAGTTATATCTCACGCAATCAAAATATTAGGCAATTTTTTGTAACATGAGGTTCATGATTCTAGTGACAACATAAAAGTAATATCTAATTATTTATACATAAAACTAACAAAAACAATCACACAATAAAAATTAAATGTGTATTTTAAAAGTATAAAATTGATACCTTCGCTTTATCAGAAAGCCAATAAGAGACCAGATTGGTCCATTGATCTCGTGGTACACGACTTGGTTTATTTCTTAGCAAAGCATCTTTCGTCTTATATTTTGTCGTATACACATTTTTCAAGTCACATTTGTAATCTTTCCATTTTTTTCATGTTGACTTTATGACATATGCTTCTCCACGAGTTGGGATAGATAACTTCTTCTGTGAAATAAAAGAAAACAATCAAAAGATAATATCATGTATAATAAAATAATATATTATTATATTCACACATCATAAGAATAATAATAACTCCATACCTTCACAAACTCCACCAGTTTCTTCTTTTCATCTTTGGCAAAGTTTCTCCAATCATCTATGGTTAGAGGTGTTAGTTCTGGAGTTCTAGCGATTATGCCTAGAAAGCTAGCAAGCTTTCGACCCTCTTTTCTTATGGGTTGGTTACGATTATTGAATTGTATAGCAATTTTATTCCCTAGTAGCAGTTTCCAGATATCTTTTAATATTATGGGTCCACGAACCTTTCTTTCCACTGAACTACCTGATTTGAAAAGATTTAATGATCATCAAATCCATATAGAGAATGGAACAATTGCTTTCCAAATTAGTGCAGCATCTTCTATTTTTCTTTTAATCTACTATAAGATGTTATCACCAAAAAGTCTCAAGGATAGCAAAATATACTACGGAATAAAAAATTTAAGTGGTATATACTTCTGTAGTAAGAGCATGGGAGTGCAGGACGCAACCAACATAAAAATATTTATAGAAAATCTCAAGGAACAATAAAAATAAGAACAATGTACCACTCAGTAAATGAACTAACATGTCCAGTAGATAAACAAAAAGTATTACCTGATTCATCATTCTGTTGAACCTTAGTATCGGTAGAATTATTCAATTCATTAGATTGAATATCATGTGTTTGTACTTGAGATCAGTTCTGACCATTCATCAATTGTTCAATATAAGGTTATGCATCTGCATCATCATGTTGTTTAATAACCATCCTGTTTTCACCTCTAGTTCGCATAGCTCCTTCTCCAAAATAAATTAATTAACAAGCTACAATAACATGTGAAAGTGGACAGAAGACAAAAATTGTATCTGGAGGTTGTCAAAATTACTGCCACTCAATCAAAATTTTCACATAATCCACTAATAGAGATAGATACTTGAGCTCAAAGACAATTTACATTAACATAAAAGATGATAATAAGGCAACAATTATTTTTGACAAGGATAATCCAAACGAAAAACAGTTTGTACAATAATGATTCATGAACTCTGATCACATACCTTAAGTATAAATAATTCAAAGCAAACCAACTGTCAAAATTATGGAGCAAAACAAAGTGTTAACAACTAAATGATTTAACAAGTAATATTTATTTCAAATTGAAGGATTTAGACCCAACCAGTTATCTTTGGTCAATACTTTAATTTAATAGTAACTTTTCATCAATTTTTGTGGCAAAATCAGTAAAAGATCACAACAAAATGCAGGTAAAATTGAGACTATACTCTCACCAAAACAAACTGAAAATATTTCCACAAGATTATGATAACACAAGTTTATGGTCTATGACTTCACAATAAATTCCAGAAATAAATGCAAAGAAAACCCCCCAATTTTTTTAGAGAAAAATGAAGGGTTTTTCCAAGGGAATTTCAAAAAGAGGAAAAGCTCTTAATCTAATAAGATTCAGAATCCCAAATTCACAAATTCAAGAAAAAATTCCTAACTATAGCCAATACTCCACATGAACAAAACTCATAAACATATCAAAACGATACAAATATTCCAATCTTCCCAAATAACTCCAAAGCCAAAAAACTATTTTTACAAAATTTAGTTATTTTGCGCGTAAATTGGTCCAGATGCCATGATCATTAAAAAAATTCAAATAAAAAAATCAAGAAAAAGAAAAAAATACATATACTTTGAGCTGAATTTTAAATGAGTCTTGCCGATGAATATATTGAAATTGAATATGAAGAAGGAACAAGAAGGTATCAAAGATGGCCTTTTGTTTTATTTGGTCAAAAAAGATTATGGCGACTTCCAATTTTGAATCATCCAATTGAACCCTAAAGATAGAAATAAAAATATAAAGAAAGACAACTCACCAGCAATTGTTATGGTGGCGAAGAACTTTGGTTGCAGAGAGCCACCAAATTGAGAAGATACTTTCTGTGATTTAGAGCGTAGTTTTTTTTCCTCTTGTTTGCAATCTTTAGGGTAAATAAAGTGCTAAAATTTAGGCGCGAGGGAAAAGAAAAAATTGGAGGGAATATGAAAAGTAAAAATAATTATTTTAGCGGTTTTTCCTCTTGACTGGGCGCTAATACATACTAATTAGCAGCCAATATTCATTAGCCAGTAATATTTGCCTTCCGTAAATAAATTAGCGGCAATTGTCTTATTGCCGCTAAATAATTGCCGCTAAGGAATTTTTTTGTTGTAGTGGTAACTCCATCAAAAGAAAAAGAAAAGAATCAAATTCACTATTTTAGAAATTGGGGTAAAGTTTTTAGAATGGATTCCAAAAGTTGTAAATAAATTAACCCTATTGTTTTAGTTATTTTGAGCCTTTATGATATCTTTTCTTTCTACCCCTGTCCAAAAGCCACATTACAGTCCAAAAAAAGACCTCCCGGATAATCTTTGAGAGTGCTGAGTTTAGACATGCCAAGGGTATATGATGTTTTTACTCTTGTCAATGCCTTATCATCTACAGAATCGGAGTAAATAAAAAGAAAAGAAAAATGAGAGAGTCTTATCGGTGAAAACCTTCATAGGCACCATAAGGCGACGGTAAGTTGAGGGAAAGAACAAAATGAGAGAGGCTTGATTGTGAAAATACTTCGGGCACTACAAGGTGAACAAGGATCGCAAATCAGATTGGATAATCGGAGCATTGAAGCCTAGTTTCACGGTTCAAGGCTATAACAAGAGTTGAGCATTAGACTTGCTTGACAGATTAGGCCACAGGTGCATGTCATGGTCATTAGAGTTGGTATCCACATCTGATAAGTTTCTACTTTGTAGTTTTCTTGTAAGGAATCATCTCTTTTCATTGTCCTTTACTCTGTTCATTTCGTCTTGTTTACTTCCTCTTCCTGAGTCTGTTTGGTCAGAACAAGTGAGAAATGACTTTAAAATTTGCTACCAACTTTCCAATTGCACAAAACGAGATCTGGCTAGCACATCAAAGTGGCATAAGTCAGGAAAGAATAACGTGCGCACTGACTTGGTAACAATCAATGTGCTTTGGGATTCATATGAAATACAAAGGTTTGATATATGTCAATTCATGAACAATGCAACAGATAGAGGATGTTGAGTGAACGAATATAAGGTATTTTCTGTGATAAGGTTGACAGAAAAAGTGGTTAACCAATGACAAGTAAGGTCTTCCAAGCGGAAATCAAAGTTATCATGGCAAGTGAAGGGGCAATAAACCTCAAAGACAAGGCCAGTGGTTTAAGTCAGGAAAGAACAGCATGCGCACTGAGTGGGTGGCATTGACGTGCTTCGGGATTCATGTGAAACACAAAGGTTCAGTATATGTCAATGCATTAGCACAATGCAACAGACGAATGGGCTTCGGTTTGAACGAATCAGAGGTAGTTTCTGTGATAAGGGTGACAGAGAAAGTGGTTAGTCAATAAACAAACAAGGTCTTTCGAGTTGAAATCAAAGTCATCATGGGAAGTAAAGGAGCAATATCCCTCAAAGTCAAGGCCACAAACCAACCACCATGTTTAAACTCGCAATTTTTCTTTGATTGAAACAGGGGCAGGAAATTTTGTTTGTTACGGAGAAACCCTCCGTGAGGAAAGTAGGTGCCAGACAAGCTCGGCAGTAAGTTTCTAGTATCCTCCTAGATAACGGGATTTAGTAAGTTTTGAGACCCTCGCGAGTGACAAGGTCTGACACGAGTTTTATTTTTGGGAAGTATAATTTAGCAGTTAAGTTTTTCACTTTTGAGATGAGACTTGGTTTGAAATTTTTCAGGATAAGGGAATTTAGCTTAGAACTTATTTTGATAACAAGAATTGGTTAACACTCACAGATGTTCCCAATATAAAACTGGGGCAGAAAAATTTCTTTTGTTTTGTCTGTTTTATTGTAATTAGATGTCCACCTGGAGAACAAGGGAAAATAGTTTCAAGTAACAAGAGAAAATGGTTCAAGCTCAAAGGAAAACAGTTTCAAGTAACAAGAGAAAAGGGTTCAAGTTCAAGGGAAGATAATACGAGTTTCAAGAATACAAAGCAGTTAAAGTTTTAGCAATCAGGCACCCACCTGAAGAAACAAAGGAGGACAATTCAAAGGATAAACAATTTCAAGAAGAGGATATATCAGGTTCGGCAATTAGGCACCTACTTGGAGAACAAAAGGAAAGCAGTAGTTTTAGAGGAGTCAGTTCGAGTTCGGCAATCAGCCACCCACCTGGAGAACAAAGGGAAAGCAGCAGTTTACAGAGGAGTCAGTTCGAGTCGAAAATTAGGCACCCACCTAGAAAATAAAAGGAAAACAGTTCAAGTGTTGGAAATCAGGCACCCACCTGGAGAACAAAGGGAAAGCAGCAGTTTCAGAGGAGTTAGTTCGTGTTGGGAATCAGGCACCCACCTGGAGAACAAAGGGAAAGCAGCAGTTTCAGAGGAGTTAGTTCGTGTTGGGAATCAGGCACCCACCTGGAGAACAAAGGGAAGACAGTTCAAGTTTTAGAAATTAGGCGCCCACCTGGAAAACAAAGGGAAAATAATTCAAGTTTCAGAGGAAAGGAAGACAATTCAAATGTTGATAATCAGGCGCCCACCTAGAGAACAAAGGGAAAGCAACAATGTTCAAAGGAAGACGGTTCAATTTCAGCAATCAGGCACCCACCTGAAAAACAAAGGGAAAACAATTCAAGTTTTGAAGGAAAGGAAAATAATTTAAATGTTGGAAATCAGGAGCCCACCTGGAGAACAAAGGGAAAGCAGCAATGTTCAAAGAAAGACGATTCAAGTTCAGCAATGAGGAGCCCACCTTGAAAACAATTCAAGTTTCGAGGGAAAAGCAGTAGAAGTGTTGGAAATCATGAGCCCACCTGGAGAATAAAGGGAAAGCAGCAATGTTCAAAGGAAGACGGTTCAAGTTCAGTAATCAGGCGCCTACCTAAAAAATAAAGGGAAAACAATTCAAGTTTTGAGGAAACACAGTGCAAGTATTGGCAATCAGGCGCCCACCTGGAGAACAAGGAGAAGACAGTCCAAGTTTCGAAGGAAGACAGTTCGAGTATGGGCAATCAGGTGCCTACCTAAAGAATAAGGGAATTCACTTCAAAATGCAATTCAAGTTACCAACAAAAGAAACTCGCAGCAAGAATGTGAGTCAATAGTCCGAGATGATCAACGGAAGTTAGTCACAATCCAAAAAAAAAAAAAAGAAAGGCAAGAAGTGAATCCAAATGCAAAAGTTGATGAAAGATGTGGGCTGCTCAAGACATGACTGAAGTCACAAGCATGGTATGTCCAGTTTTGATCCGAAAAGCTGAAGAAGAATGAAGTAGCCCCTGCAACTAGCAAGCGTCAAGGTTCAAATACAAAGTCTGCATGAAGAACCATTCAAGACTCAAGATCAAGCTTTAGAAGACTTATAGATAAGAATCTTGTAACTCATAGTTGACAGGCTTAGATAGTCTTTTTTATTTTTTGATTTTGATGTAATAACAGGACCGCAGACCGGAACCTCAATGGAACGGCACCTCGATCGGCTCTCCACCTCGGTACTCCATCACTGTTCCTACTTCTGAACTATACGTGGTCTGATTCCTTTATAGCCAAGGATATGTAGACAGCTCAGATATCAGGGCTCGGTCACATTCTCCTTCCTTTTAGTATTTAGTCTCCTTAAATAAGGGCCGGGTCAAAAAACCTGTCTAGTCGTTCTTTGTCTGAAAACTCTTCGCGTTTCCAGTCAAAGAGGGGCAGCTGTAGACATGTGATTTTTGACCCTCCCCAAGATTTTTTATTTTAGCATGCAAATATTTATTTTAGGCCTAATATCATTATTTTAACTAATTTTGACTCTTTTACTTTATTTCATTACAAGAAATTGAAAATTACAAAAAATAGTTTCATTAACGTTTTGTAATCATTTTTAATCTTGAAAAATTCCAAAAATAGTTTTGTTTTAACGGTCAGTCTTATTTTAATAGTTATTTTATTTAAGTAGGATTAATTAATAAATGAGATTATATTTTCAGTCTCGTTCGCGAGGAAAGAATAAACTTTGGGCTCAAACAACCCATTTTTAAGCGTAATTTCCGGACCTAGTTCCTAGGCTCATACCCCTTTACCTAAAAATCCTACAAATACCTAAACCACTAAGGCCCTAAGGGCAATCAGAAAAAGAATACAAAAATATCGACCTAGACCTATACAATATAGACCTAGCGCCTATGAGTCTATCAAATCAGCCGCAGAACACCAAAAGGACACCCCCCAACGTCGTCTTCTTCACCAAAAAAGCAACGATTTCTCTGTTGCTTTCTCCAACAGAGAACGTTAGAGACCAGCAAAACACATGAGATTCTTCAGCCTTCTCTTCTTCTTTGAACCCAACACACACAAATAAGATAGTCGTCCACCTCAATCCTCTTCGTTCTGTCGTTTTCTCCGGCGAAGAGCCTCACCCCGCCTCCTTCAGAAAGTCGAACCAGCCACCCCGCCATCTCCAAGAACTCCTCTGTCACTCTCACATCAATAAATCTTTCTCCATCTCTTAATTGACGCATACATAAAAGGGAAAAGAAAAACAGAACAGGGAGGGAGAGGGATTGGATGTGAGGAGCTGAGGGATTCAGAGCAGTTTTTCATTGAAGTTGTGCTATGGAAGTTGCCAATTTGAGGTTCCGTCCGAGCTTCTGTCTGATTTGAGTTCCCATTGTAGCCACAGTTTCGTTTTGCTCGTGTACTGTTGAACACTTTGAGAAATTGAGATATCCATTTCAGGTGCATTCTTTCCCATGTTATCTTTTACATTTTCTCTAATTTATTAGGAAGTTTCAGTGATGATGCTTTCTCTTCCACGATGTGTATCTTGAAATGAATTTTTGGGTTTGGGCCGTATTTGTCATGTTGCCTCGATTTGTAAACTTGTGGTTGATAAATTCTCTAATTATTGTCTTTTAATATGTTTCAATCGTTGTTTTGTGACTGATTTTGATTTCTCCTTTTTAGATCTATTAGACTTGAATTTTTAATTGAACTCTTAACAATAGACAGTTTGTGAATTCTTGAATAAACGTT